GTGAGATCGATCGCAAGATCGATAGTGAGACCGATAGTGAGATCGATACTGAGATCGATAGTGATATCGATAGTGCGATCGATCGTGAGATCGATCATGAGATCATAAACTTTTGGCGCTCCGCGCGGAGCTCTTGCATGGCATCCGCGCTCGACCCCCCTCCCTGGCGGGCGGAGCGCGCCAGGGGCGGCGCCGGAGGCGCCGCCAGGGGGGCCCAGCGCGGATCCAAGAAATCCACGCGGAGCGCCAAGAGCTTATGTGTATGGCGTTTATTCTTAGGAAGGTCCCCCCCTCGACCATGAAGCCATCATGGAAGTGAAAGCCATCCGCGAATCGACTTTGCAGGGCAGGGCTTCCGCTCACTGGGCAAGCGCGCTCCACTACTCGCAGGGTGCCTGCTCGCAAGTGGCCCGGATCCGCGGCGGGGCACCCACGATGCAGCACGTCGAGGCAAGCAAATGTTTTGCCCGACGTGTGCGAGTGGGCAGGGCAGGGCCTCTGTTCACCCCTGACAGGAACGGGATCCACCAGACAAAGGGAGCCGAACTGGATCCACCATCCCCTGACAGGATCCCCTGACAGGATCGGGATCCCCTGAACTGATCGGGATCCCCCGACAGGATCGGGATCCACCATCCCCCGACAGGGTCCCCACCAGGGGGACCCTGAGGGAGAGCATGAGCTCGATCCGCTGGTGCACCGAACTGCCGCAAACCGATGCCCCCCGCGTGCCTAGGTGTGGGCCACTGTCGGGAGCTGCCTGAGCGGCTGGGGGGCACCTGTGCTGCGCGGCTCGGTGCAGAGGCCGAGCGGACTCAGACACACTCCGGGGAAGCGCCCCCCCCTTTGCGGGGGGGGGGAAGGAGGGGGAGGAGGAGGAGGAGGAGGAGGAAGAGGAGGAGGAGGAGGGGGAGGAGGAAAAGGAGGAGGAGGAGGAGGAGGAGGAGGAGGAGGAGGAGGAGTGGTGGCAAGACTTGGCGGCATCAATTGCGCGCACAGGCGGCGCCCTGCCTCAAGGCAGCCACGGCCAGCACCAGCAAGCCCCTCAGGTTTAGGTCGGGCACCTCCCCCTGCAGACCGATTGTGGGCGAAAAACCCGAGAACTGTCAAAGAATGCCCAGGCATGGTCAAGAGAAAAACGACCAAGATCGTCCACAGACTACTTTTTTTGATAGTTTGACGATCTGCGAAGTTTCCTCCTGCAGAGAGACGTGCCCGACCCAAGGCAAACCTTACGTCGGGCGTGTCCACCTAGAGGGGGATGTTCGACGACATAATCGACCCACGAACCCGGAAAGGCATATAGAAATGTAAGGCATTGCAACAGTTCAAAGACACCTGATTGGGCGACGGGCACATGACATGCTGAATGTATCGATGATGGTGATGATGATGATGATGATGATGATGATGATGATGATGATGATGATGATGATGATGATGATGATGTACTGTGCCGAGGGTTGTGCTGTGCTACGCCGTGCTGAACTGCGATGTGCCATGCCGCGATTGTGCTCTATACAGCGTTGTGGATCGAGTCCTCCCTGGCATCCGAGTCCTCACCGAACTGATCTGGATCGTAAGCTCGAGCTGCCTGAGCAGATGGTAGCTGCCCCAGAACTAATCGTCAGAGGGAACATGCCAGGAGGACGCGCCGCGGAACGTCCCAAGGGACGCGCCAGGCGACGTGCCAGGGGACGTGCCATGGGCACGCACCGCGGGACGTGCCAAGGGGACGCGCTACGGAACGTGCCAATGGACGTGCCGATGGACGTGCCAGGGGACGCGCCGCGCGACGTGCCAGTTTGACTCGCCACGGAACGCGCCAAGGAACGTGCCACGGTGCATAATTGAGTGTATCGATCTTGATGTACCGTGCCGACAGCTGTGCTGTGCTGGGCCGTGCTGAACTGCGATGTGCCATGCCGCGATTGTGCTCTATCTAGCGTTGTGGATCGAGTCCTCCCTGGCATCCGAGTCCTCACCGAACTGATCTGGATCGTAAGCTCGAGCTGCCTGAGCAGATGGTAGCTGCCCCAGAACTAATCGACAGAGGGACATGCCAGGAGGACGCGCCGCGGAACGTCCCAAGGGACGCGCCAGGCGGCGTGCCAGGAGACGTGCCATGTGCACGCACCGCGGGACGTGCCAAGGGGACGCGCTACGGAACGTGCCAATGGACGTGCACCGCGCGACGTGCCAGGGGACTCGCCACGGGACGCTCCGCGGAACGTGCCAGGCAACATGCCAGGCTGCAATGCTAAGGGTATCGATATTGATGTACCGTGCTGAGGGCTGTGCTGTGCCTGGGCGACCTGGACACGTGAAAACACGTGCTTCGCTCAAGACGTTGTCAGCACATCCTCATGCTAGACATCCGCCTGGGCAACCTGGACACGTGCAAACAAGCGTCTCGCTCGAGACATCCTCAACAAATGCTCATGCTAGACATCCGCCTGGGCGACCTGGACACGTGAAAACAAGCATCTGGTTCGACACATCCTCAACAAGTCCTCATGCTAGACATCTGTCTGGGCCACCTGGAGGCGTGAAACCAAGCGTCTCGCTCGAGACATCCTCAAGACCTGGGCGCGTGAAAACAAGCAATCCACGTGAGAGATCCTCAGAATTCAGGTCCCCAGGAGACGACAATCTATAACACAAAACAAGCATTTCGCTCGAGACATCCTCAACAAAATCTGAAACACAAGCGTTTCGCTCGAGACATCCTCAAATCTGAATTCGCCGGCCCTACGCGACCTCGTCATTTATCGCAAAAGAAATTTGCCGGCCCTACAGCCGTCAAAACCGAGGGTAAACCTACTAAAAAAGAACCCTGGGCCTGAGCCCTTTCCGTAACAAAAAATCAATAATACCCCAAAAAATACCCCCAAAAGGGGGGGAAAAAAAAACAATAAAAATAGTCCCCAGACTATTTTTGGACTAATTTTTGAACTATTTCGGGGGGGTGTTTTACTTCTCGTCGGGACAAGGTTTCCCCCTGCAGAGGGACGGGCCCGACCCAGGGCAAACCCCTTGGGTGGCCTGGAGCGGTCCAGCCACGGGCCCCGAGCGCCCCCCCCCCACGCGGGGGGCACCGCCGGAGGCGCAGGTGGGGCGCCGCTGCCGGCCCCGACGCGCCGGTACCGTGGGAGCCTGCTGAGGCCCGTCGTTGTCGTCGTCGCCGTCGCCCTCTCGGCGACTCCGAAGGGTGTGGTTTGCAAAGGGTGTAGTTTGCAACTCGCGCCCTCGGGGGCACCCTGGGGGGCGGGCGGGGACCCCGACTGAGCTCTCCGCCGTGCCCCGAGGAGGCCCGACGAGGACAGTGTCGTGCCCCCCAGGTCCCCACGGCGCCGATCGCAAACCACACCCTGGCGTAACCTCACCCTTCGCAGTCGCCGACCCTCGCCGTCGTCGTCGCCGTCGCCGTCGCCGTCGAGAAGAGAAGCGGGCCTCACGCAGGAGGGGGCAGCGACCTCACGCCACGGCTTGCGCGGGCCGCCAGCGTGGCACGCAGCACTGCCAACGGGGGCCCTCACACGCGGCCTTGTGCGGGAGCCTCACGCGTGCGAATGTGGGCACCGTCGACCCCGCTGCTCTGCGTCGCGCATGCGGGAGCTGTCTCTGCGCTGCGCGACAGCAGGTTTTGTCGAGCGGCAGCGATGGATGAGGAGGAGGGGCGTGAGGAGGAGATCCTGGGCGTACTCCCCCAGCCTGACGAGGAGGTACCCCAGGTCAGTCATCCAGAGGAAGTCGTTGCCGTCGTGGAAGCCAATTCCGTGGCCGCTCAGGAACCGCCGTCCCCCCACCAAGGAAGGATGAGGGGCGGGGGGGAGCCGGAGGGGGAAGAAGAGGGACAAGAAAGAAAAGGGAGGAGGGTGGAGGACAAGGGGGCCAAGCAGCACGGGGTGGGGGAAACCCATAACAAAAGCGTCATGGTCGTGTCGTGACGCAAACCCCACTCGACTCGACCGCATCCCCACGACCAAACCATCCCGGGCGACTGGTGCAGGGTCCCATGTCACGGAGCGGTCCTCCATACGCCCAAACAAAAACTTGTTCGTGGCGCCGGAGGTGTGGACACATCGGCTCAAAACCAGTCCCTGGAAGCCTGCCGGGCCTGAACTGCACAGATTGTAAAGCCAAGCGAGTCAAGCAGCCGTGACCACGAGAAGCGGAAACCATGCCAACAAGCCAACAAGTTCAGAACCCTCCTCCTCGTCCTCCGCTTCCTTCTCCTTCTCCTCCTCCTCCTGCTCCTCCTCCTCCTCCCTCCTCCTCCTCCTCCTCCTCCTCCTCCTCCTCGGGTGATGGGGGAGGGCGAGAGGGGATGGGAGAAAGAGGAGCAGTGCCTTGAAGCGAGTGCCCGAAATGAACACCCCTTTTTACGGAGGGTAAAGCCGACCACAAACAACGATGCCGAACGAGAAGACCGTAACCCCGAAGGCGAAGGACATGACAAGGAATAACGCGACATGCACTTGTGGGAGCAGGAGAAGGAAGAGGAGGAGGATGGGGAGGAGGAGGAGGAGGAGGAGGAGAGGGAGGAGGAGGAGGAGGGGAGGAGGAGGAGGAGGGAGGACACGGAGGAGGAGGAGAAGGAGAAGGAGAGGAAGGAGAAGGAGAAGGAGGAGGAGGAGGAGGAGGAGAGGAGGAGCGGATGAGGAGGAGGAGGAGGAGAGGGATGAGGAGGGGAGGAGGAGGATGAGGAGGAGGAGGAGGAGGAGGAGGAGGAGGAGGAGGAGGAGGAGAGAGGAGGAGGAGGAGGAGGAGGAGAGGAGGAGGAGGAGGAGGAGGAGGAGGAGAGGGAGGAGGAGGAGGCAGTGCTGCAGAGGCAACCGCTGTGCTGCACACTGCTCCAGCGGGAGCCCCCAGGGGGCTGCTTATCCCGAGGGGAAGGGGACTTTGGGGCACCCTCGGGGGCGTCCACAGGGGGAGCGGGGGGGGTCGCAAGCCATGGCCCGAGGCGCGTGCGCGCCCATGGGGGGGGGGGGCACAAGCGACGCATGCCGTATAGAAACAAGAAGAGGGGCCTGACGTCTGGAGGGGTAGAATGGCCCTTGCCATGATCTCCCCCCCCTTAGTCATCACCCCCCTCTTGGCCGCCCCCGACACAGAAGATGAGGAGAAGGAGAAGGAGGAGGAGGAGGAGGAGGAGGAGGAGGAGGAGGGGGAGTAGAAGGATGGGGAGGGGAAGGAGGAGGAGGAGGAGGAGGAGGAGGAGGAGGAGGAGGATGGGGAGGAGGAGGAGGGGGAGGAGGCAAGGCCGACGCCCCCCCTACAGGCCGTCGGATTGCGACCACATGCCGTCGGATTGCGACCAGGGGGGCGCAGTTCGAGGATGGCAACGGCCCGTAACCAGCAGGGGGACATTGAGGAGGGTGGGGGGGGGGGGAGAGGGGGGAGGAGGGAGCGGAGGTCGAGGAACGAGGATTGGACGTCGGGGGCGGCGGTGGAGGCGAAGCCCCTGGGATCTTCTGGAAGCGAGCGTACGCCTCGCTGAAGCGGTCCAGGTTGATCAGTATGCGCGCGATGCAGTAGTCCGTGATGGCCTACCGAAGCGCGGCGCACCCCTCGGTGCTATCGTTAAGTCGGGCCGGTCCCCCTACAGGGGGATTTTCAACGAAAAATAAAACATACCCCCAAAATAGTCCAACAATAATATAAAAATAGTCTGGGGACATTTGTTGAATATTTGTTGACCTTTTGGGGTATTTTGGGGGTATTTGTTGTTTTTCGTCGAAGGTCCCCCTGTAGGGGAACACGCCCGACATAATGCTATCGACCGGGCGCGGGGGGTGCCAGGCGAGCCGGGACAAAAAGGGCACCCAGACATCTCCGCGTCGTGGCAAGATCACGACGGGAAGGTTTTGGTGTTTTTTTCAGTCGCCAGAGGCCCTCGGTGGGCCACGCGGGGCCGTCGGGAAACGACTCGGGAGGAGCAGCCGGCCCTGGGGAGGGGGTCCAGACCTCTGGGGAGCCACGTGTGTGGCAAAGCTCACGTCGGGTCCCTGGGAACAGGCTGGGCTTGTCTTTGTCTGGCAGGCCCGAGCTGAATCGAATCGCGAAGTCGGATCGGATCGAAGGCGCATCGGATCGCTGCAGCGAGTCGCCCCGAACCGAATCGAAATCGGATCGCCGCGCACAGCTCTGGCTGGCCCTGGCCGATGCCAGCGAATCGAACGGAATGGAATCTCGGGGATCTTCTGACCCGGGTCAATCCAGACCCGGGTCAGCCAGGCCTTGCAGAATCCTGCAAAATCCTGCCAGACCCTGCACCCAAACCCGGGTCAATGCGAAGGATCCTGCAAAATCCTGCAGGATCCTGCACCCAAACCCGGGTCAATGGGAGCCTGGCCCTGCAGGATCCTGCAAGATCTGGCGCTCTGGCTGACCCCCGTTTGCATTGACCCCCGTCTCGAAGCTCCCGAGAATCGGAATCCTGGCCCCAGCCGGCGAACCGAGTCGCACCGAATGGGGTCGCGAGCGGCCCTTCTGACGTGCCTCGCCCCTGTGGCGCCTTCGCGAGGGGGAGCCCCTCGTCGCCCCGCGGCCGGAGCAGCCTCGAGCTGCTGGCAGCAGGCGCACTCCCCGGTGGGCCCGGGGGCCGACTGTTGACCCCCGAGCTGCGGGGGGCCGGCCCCGAGAGCCAGGCGTCGGGTTGTTTCCGCTGGGCGGTTTCGCCCAGTCTCGGGCCCCAAGCACTGAGGGGTCGATCTGGGTCGGGAGATGCCGCAGCGAGATGGGGTCGAGGGCTCATGTCGTGATTGTCCACGCTTCTCTTTCGCGAAGTTCGATCGCGCAAGCTAGGCGCGCTCGCGTCATATCTCACATCCCACCTCCCTCCCACCCATCCTTTTCCATTGCGCTGGCGGGTTTGCGGAAGGATGAGCGGGAGGAAGAGGACGAGGACGAGGACGTGGTGGTGATGATGATGAGGATGAGGATGAGGATGAAGATGACGATGACGATGATGATGCTGCTGATGAGGCGGAGGATGAGGAGGGTGGGGAGGAGGAAGAGGAGGAGGAACGATGGGGGGAAGGAGCAGCAGAAGGAACGGGAAGAACACAGGAGGATCAGGGAAGGCGGGGGGGAGGAATGGAGGGGGCGGCAGCAGCGAGCCTTGCATCGGACCCAGATATGTGCGGCCCCTCTCAGGCGAGAGCGCTCTTCTTCACGACACGAGCAAGGCGCCGTTCCTGAATTGCAGTGTTCGGCCTGACCTAAGGAACGATACATTAAGGAACGAAGCCCCTTTTTCCCCAAGTAAGTCTGCGGAGTCCGAGGGAGCACCAGGGGGGCCCGCCGCCAAAAAGGTAGCGGAACGCATGCAAACCAAAGGAACGACAGAGCCCCATTTTGAAAAGTAAGTGTTTCTTATTCAAGCCGGGCCCTGTATGAACAACGCTGCACCAAGAACAACCTTTCTCTTACGGACCGTGAGCAGTTCGAGCAAAACGCAACACAGCATGTAAAACAACGAAGTCCTGTGCGAAAGACAATCCGCAACATAGGCGCCGGAACCGCTGCCCATGAGCACGGAAAAGAGGAGAGAGCCGTTGCCATATCGAGTCATTGTGAAGGTGACGTAGAATCGAGGGTCGAGGTTTTAGGGCATCGAGGGTTCTCTCTGGGCCTCTGTCTGGCCTCCGAAGCCTCTCGAAGGAACACAAACCTCTGGGGACCTCCGGAAACACCCGGCGGACCACCGGAGACCCCCTGGAGACCTCTCACGACCTCTGGGCAGAGGACGATTAGGTCGGGTCTGTCCCCCTACAGGGGAATTTTGAACGAAAAATGAAACATACCCCCAAAATACCTCAAAATTCGCCGGCCCAACGGGCCAGGGCGTGCTAAGATCTCCGGTACCTGGTTAACAGTATTTCTAGTTCGCGCGCGCGGGGCGGCCCCTGGGGGTCCCTGGACGAACAGTACCCCGGCAAGGTTCCGGCAAGGTCCCGGCAAGGTCGGGCCAGAGATGCCGGAGCCCTGTTACAGGGCCCCAGGACGGGCCAAGAGGTCCCCAAGAAGTCTCCAAGACGGTCCAAGAGGGCCCCGAGACGGCCAAAGATCGCCCGAAGACGCCCAACAGGGCCCCAAGACAGCCCAAGAGGCCTCCAAGACGCCCCAAGGGCCTTCCAAGAGGCCTCCGAAGAGGGCCCCAAGAGGCCAAAATCGTTGATTTTCATTGTTTTTTTCTATGTTTTTTGCGTTCTGGCTTTTTCGGCTTCCGGACGCTCCAAGACGGCCCAAGAGGCCCCCAAGATCGCTCCAAGACGGCCCACGAGGCTCCCAAGACGGCCCAAGTGCCGCCCAAGACGGACCAAGAGGCCCCAAGACGGGCCCAAGAGGGGCTCAAGAGGGGAACCGAGAACTGAAAAATCGAGCCCTCCGCCCCAGAAGGCGCCCAGGAGGCCCCAAAAAGGCCCCAAGAGGCCCCCAAGACGCCCCAAGTGGCGCCCAAGAGGCCCAAAAGAGGCCCCAAGAGGCCCCAAAACGGCCCCCAAGAGGCCCCAAAACTCGGCTAGCCCACAACGGTGCGACAATATGGGCCGGCGGAATGAGAGAAGCGATTAAATAATCAAAACATACCCAAAACATAGTCCCCAGACTATTGTTTGACTATTTTTGAATTTTCCTTCCGTAGAGGGACAGGCCCGACTTAAGGATACGACAGGAGGATCTCCGGGGGGGGGGAAGAATGGTCGTGATCTGACAGAACACCTGGGCGATACAGCCCAAAGGGAGGTGCCCAAGGTGCCCGCATGAATTAACATGCAGTCGGATCCCGCAGCATGAGTGGCAGTACAGACGCGCCCCAGGCGTCACATCTGCGCCGCCGTTGCGAGGCGCCTCGAGATGCCACCCTTCGACACGGCCGCTGGCGCCACACCCCCACTTGGCCGCTGGCCTCAAGCAGGGAGACCCCACTGCACAAGCCGGGGAAGCAAGCATGGGGGGGGGGAAGAGGAGAACGGGAACAGGCGGGGCAGCCATGCGGGGGGGCTGCGAGCACGATCTCCGGCCGGCGGTTGAAACCGTGGTGGCCGCTGCGTCCCGCGTGCGCTGCACGAGGTGCGCGCGGGAATCAGGAGGGGAAGAAACACACAGACACAACGAATCGTCGATCCCCCAGAAAATATGCGAAAATATGGGAATTGGGGGGAAGACAGAAACCCAGAAAAGAAAGGAAAATATGGGGAACATTTTTATTTTGTGTGTATTTGCTTGTGTGTCCTGGGGCCCCTTCAGGGAAGAAGCGCTCGACGCGGGCAGCACCCTGGCCCGGAGTGTGGCCGGAGCCGGCGCTCGCCCCGCGAACAGCGCCGGCCACGGGAGCCCCCTCGGAATGGTGGAGACCGCCCAACGGTTCGAAACGCAAGCTCTGCAGGAGAGCCCAGAATCGAATCGGCAGGTCGGATTGGCGATCGAAATGGATCGGATCGGCGGAAATCGGCAGCCGAGTCGGGAAAAGTTGGATCGGCGGACGCCGGCAGGCAAGAAGCCTCCAGTGAGAAATCGGAACCCCAATCGGAATCCGACATCGAATCGAATCGGAATCGGCACCCCTCGAAATCGAATCGAATCGAATCGGCGGCGTCGAAATGAGCCCTGGCTCTGGCAGCCAGATAGAGATCGGCCAACGTTTCGAGCAGCAAGCGTTACACAAATAGTACGCATCAAGCAGAGGCCACGCTGTACCCACATGCTGCTGCTTCTGCCCCCAGCATGTCCCGCACGGAGTGATTTGGAGGCAGCGAAGGTGCGATACGTCGAACGCTTCCGAACACACACGGTCATGAACATGTTCCTCGTGTCGCGCCGCTGGTTCTGGCCCAACACGCTTCGGCACGACACGCCAAAAAGGTCCCAATCCCAAACCATCAACGCTCCGAGCTTTTGCCAGCCTCCCGTCCCACGAAGCAGAGCGCCATCTGCTTGCAACGCATAGCGTGTCGCAGGGAACGCCGCCGCGACACGCTGGACAATCACTGCATCATGTACCAACGGCCCTCCCCAGGCACGCCGAAGCAGACGGGCCAGAGAGCGGGATTGAGCGTCATGGCCCGCGGACGAGGGGTGCCAGAGCATGTGTTGCAAGGAGAAAAAGGGGCCATGGCATTTGGGAATCAAAGAAGAAAAAGAAGAAAAGGAAGACCCTAGGAAAAGCAAAAATCACATCAGGGGACAAATCAGGACCAAGAATCAGGAATCAAATCAGCGGGAGAAAAAAAGAAGAAAATAAGAAAAGAAAAAAAAGAGGGGTATCACGGCCCCGGCATGGATACGTATCCACCCCCCCACTTACTCGTCCCCCCCCCCCCTGTTGAGCGGCCCCGGGAAAAGGTCTGGTCGTGGCGCTTGGCCCTCGCACGGGCCCGCACGCCGTAGAGCCTTCTTCGGGACGAGCACAGGGCGGGAGGACGGACGACGCCGAGGGTGGTGGGGGGAGGAGGAGGAAGAGGAGGAGAAGGAGGAGGAGGAGGAGGAGAAGGAGGAGGAGGAGGAGAAGAAGGAGGAGGAGGAGGAGGAGGAGGAGGAGGAGGAG